GTAATTTTTGTACGACTCTTCTGTTATTGTCTCTCACTGTGTCTCTCTGGCACAGTAATACACAGCAGAGTCTTCAGGCTGCACATTCTGTCCGTTTAGAGTCACTGTTTTGCTGGAAGAATCAATGGAGATACTGAACTTGTTCTTCAGTGAATCTTTGTAATGTGTTGTGTATCCAACAGCTGCCATTCCAATCCACTCCAGTCCTTTCCCTGCAGGCTGTCTGATCCAAGCTGTGGGAGCGCTGCCCAGAGAATAAGAGACCTGACAGGTGATGGTCAGACGTTGACCTGGCTGCACAGTCACAGAGGCTGGCTGTGTCAACTGTTCACACTTCACACCTGTTAAAAAAGAAAATGTTTTGTAACAAATGATCAAGTTATACTGCAAAAGAAGAACTGTTGACTTTGACAAATCCAGAGAGACTCACATCCAGCTGCCAACAGCAGCAGCAGAGCTACAGAGAACATGGTTTATGTTGAAACTGACGTGCTGTGAACTCCACTGACAGCCTGATGGGAAGTTTTTATAGCTGAGTAACAAGGAAGGTCACTGAGTTTGCATAGAATCAAACATATGAAACATCAATGTTGGACTAACTGGAGCCAATAGAAGAGTCTGTTGACTGTTATTATATCTGCAGAGTGAAAACATGCCTGGAAATCACCTCTGCTTTACATATGATATTTTAACTTTATTACACACTCAACTGTAACATTTTGAAAATCAGACTTCACATTTACAGTGATAGAAATTAAATAACTGTAAACTTTTCAAGTGTATTAATGATTAATGCCTAAATGTATTGTATTGGCTACATTCTACGGTGGCCAAAAAGGGCAAAGGGCCACAAACAGCAAAACGCTGCAAACACAGGAATGATGTAAAACCAAAAACACACAAACACATAAAACAAATGCAACAGAAAAATATGTTTGTGTGTTTTTGGTTTTACATCATTCCCGTGTTTGCAGCGTTTTGCCGTTTGCAGCGCTTTTGCCCTTGTCGGCCATCGTACATTTCAATATTAAAACATGTCAGTTTGTATAACTGCAACAACTATATTGATCATCATTGCTATTCTTAATGTAAACATAAATTATGGATAATGGAAAACATATTCAATAAAATCAGTATTGCAATAACAATGCTGATGTGCACGCAATGAAACAAAAGAGCAACCAGAATGTTGCTTTCTATGAGCCATGTTTACAGTGTGTTCAATGTGTTCAATTAATTACAACAGACTTTGAATATGACACCACATTCCTGATTAAATGCAATTTTCTGATGTTAAACTCAGAAAAAAACGAAATTCTTGTTCTTGGCCCCAAAAACCTTAGAGACTCACTGTCTAAAGATATAGTTACTCTAGATGGCATTAACTTGGCCTCGAGCACCACTGTCGGGAATCTTGGAGTGATCTTTGATCAGGATTTGTCATTTAACTCCCACATAAAGCAGACCTCTAGGACCGCCTTCTTTCATTTACGTAATATTACAAAAATTAGACACATACTATCACAGACAGATGCAGAAAAAATAATCCATGCATTTGTTACTTCAAGGCTGGATTACTGCAACGCTTTATTATCAGGTTGCCCCAATAAATCCATTAAAACGCTCCAATTAATTCAGAACGCTGTAGCACGAGTACTGACAGGAACTAGAAAAAGAGATCACATCTCTCCTGTACTAGCTTCTCTGCATTGGCTCCCCTGTAAAATGTAGAATAGAATTTAAAATCCTCCTCCCTCACCTATAAAGCTCTTCATGGTCAGGCCCCTTCATATCTTAAAGAGCTCATAGTACCCTATTACCCCTCTAGAACACTACATTCTCTGAATGCTGGGCTACTTGTGGTTCCTATAGTCTCTAAAAGTAGAACAGGAGCCAGAACCTTCAGTTACCAAGCTCCTCTCCTGTGGAACCAGCTTCCATTTGTGGTTTGGGAGGCAGACACCCTCACCACATTCAAGAGTAGGCTTAAGACATTCCTCTTTGATAAAGCTTATAGTTAGGGCTGGATCAGGTGAGTCCTGAACCATCCCTTAGTTATGCTGCTATAGGCCTAGACTATCGGGGATTTCCCATGGTGCACTGAGCTCCTCCCTTCCTCTCTCTTTCTGCACTCATTCATGTCCCATTAATGCATGTTACTTACTTCACTTCTTCCCCGGAGTTCTTGTGCTTTCTCGTCTTGCAGGTTCTTGTCGATCCTGGTGGAGCCTCCTGCCATGGTCCTGCTAGATTGCCATTGCCAATACTGTTGTTGCTGTGCACCTGTCTGTCTGTCTGTCTCTCGCTCTCTCTCTGCCTCTCTCTCTCTCTCTCTCTCTCTCTCTCTCTCTCTCTCTCTCTCTCTCTCTCTCACCCCAACTGGTCGAGACAGACGACCACCCACCTAGAGCCGGAGGATCTGTCTTAGGTTTCTGCCTTTTAATAGGCAGTTTTTCCTTGCCCTTGTCGCCAAGTGCTTGCTCATGGTGGTACTGTTGGGTCTCTGTAATTAATGTTTTAAAGAGTTCGGTCTAGACCTGCTCTATTTGAAAAGTGTCCTGAGATAACTTCTGTTATGAATTGGCGCTATACAAATAAAATTGAATTGAATTGAATTGAAAATTGAAAATTAAAGTATGACCACAGCGTTTTACTGCAGCATTAGTTTATGTATTTAGTCGCTCACATATTGTATTCACTGCAAACAGAAATACAGTGACTGCAAGGATCATGTAAATAGTATGTAAACTTCAGGCATTTGTTCTCATCTCACACAGACAGAAGGTAGAACTTATTCTCTTTTCTTCATCTCTGACAAACACACTATAGACTATTGATTCACTATTGACTTCACATCTCTGAAAAAACATGATTTAGATCATTTAATATTATAATGATCATTTTTAATGATAATAATGTCCATCAAGTTATTTGACCTGATGTTTATACCAATTGTATTTATTATTTATTTATATTGTTCTGCAGCATTTAGTAGTACATCCATATACTGGATATATCATTCATTATAGCATTAATGCCCAAATACATTCTCAACACCTGCTGGTCAAAATATAATGATAATATAATGGGATCATTATTAACCAATATTATTGTATAGAAAACAATATGTTAAATGTAACATTAAGAAACAGGAAGTCACATAACACAACATCAGCTGTTGTTTTCATAGTGTGTATGTGTTTGTTAGACTCTCCAGTCTGACTTTATATCTTCTGCTGCCACCTGTTGGTCTTTGTAAACAAATGTTCTGTGGAGTTTTTGTAAAGCCTCTCTGCTTCCTTTAACCACTGTGAGTCTCTGGCACAGTTATACACAGCAGAGTCCTCTGGCTTTAAGTTGGACAGTCTCAGATACACCATGCTGTTGCTATTATCTCTGGTGATTTCTATTCGTCCTTGCACACTGCTAGCATAATCTGTTCTACTTGCATCGCTGTAAACACGTCCTATCCATTCCAGTCCTTTTCCTGCAGGTTGTCTGATCCAGCTCATACTGCAGCAGCTAAATGTGAAGCCAGATCCCCTACAGGACAGACTGACAGTCTCTCCAGGCTTTTTCATTACTGAACTGGAAGGAATGGACTCCATACTCTGACCTGTACAACCTGATGAGATGAAAGGAGAGAGGAACCACAGAAGAAAGTGAGACAGTCATCTAGGAAGTTTTCTGGTATCACTGACTGACCATCAGTCCATGTTGTCTGATAAAAGATAAAACAGCAAGAAGCAGGAGAACTCACAGGGCAGAGAGAGAGAGCAACCAGCAGAAGAGTGAGTATGTTCATCATCCTGAGGCTGGAGATGTGACCTCTGATGCTCCACACAAAGTACAAGAGCAGTCAGCAGGACAGAAGTACACTGCACAGACTGAAGATTTGCATCAGGATATCATGTGGAGGGAGGGGCTCATTTACAGCCTCTCTGTTAGAGTTTCATTTCATTATATCATTTATTATTTGTTAGTTTTTTAATATAGCTGATTGTCCATCCACATAGGATACAATATCACATCCAAAAACAGGAACTTAAAAAGAGAACAATGAACAAATAAGGAAAATTATATAATACCGTTGACCTGACCTGTCAGCATATAATGTGATGAAGGATGCTGGGTATTTGTCTCATTTATTGGCTGTTTGTAGGTCTGTTCAACCGCGTAGAAAGGAAGAGAAGAAAGGAACCTCAAAGGAAGAGAAGGAGTAACTGCATTGAATTGTAATCAACTTGTAATTTCAGGTTTAATATCTCACTGATGTTCATGTTGGAGTCTGAATCCACGTTTTAAGATTTATTTTGCCAAAACTGCTGATGTGTAATTAACATCTGGAACCTTTTTTCAACCTCAGTTTGAATTATTGTTACACTGAGGCTTCTCAAAGCCTTGAATCAATATTAAACATCACCATAACATCAACATCACATTTTTTAATATATTTTTTTATAGTGAAATTCTAGGGTTTGTACAAAACTCAAACAGCATTTAAACAACCTGACCACGAGCCAAAGACATCATTAAATTACAATTCTGACTTTTATTTCTTTTAAATGACCCAGAAGATTTGTTCAAATAAAATTTGACTCAAATGAGTTACATATTGGCTCCACTTTCTTTGGTTTTTAATTCAGAATTCCCTAAATCATTAAAAATTGTAAGATTAATTGATTTACTGATTGGTTTCCTTTTATTTACTTAGTGTACGCTATTGCTGCCTGCTGCTCTGTAAGCCCCACCACCACCTCAGCATCCACCTGCATCCACCAAGCAGAACCTTAAAGCTGGGGCTTTAAGGTTTTTGCTCATCACTCCCCAATATCTCATTGAGAGTCCAAAATCTAACTGTGCTATACTGCTGTAATAACCATTTCAAACATGAGTTATCATACTGAAATGTATATTAATGCGATAAGATCACATTCATTATATTATTAAATTAATTATAATAATTTCATTTTTATTGGAATAATTGTGGTAAAGATGAGTACTGTAGGATTTTGTACAGCTGCTCAACCAACTCCAGTCACTGTGGCTCTCGAGCACAATAATAAACAGCAGAATCTTCAGTCTTCAGACTGTTCATCTGCAGATACACCTGCTGTCTGCTGTTGTCTCTGGAGATGGTACACCGGCCTTGAACTGACTGAGAGTAGTATTTGCTACTGCCACTGCCACTGTCGATATAAGCAATCCACTCCAGTCCTTTTCCAGGAGCCTGTCTGACCCAGTGCATCTCGTAGCTGCTGAATGTGAATCCAGAGGCTGTACAGGTCAATCTGTGAGATTCTCCAGGCCTTTTAACCACTGGTTCAGATTCTGTCAGAGTCTGACCATCAACACCTGTTAAACCAAGAAAGATATTCATGTTATGTGTTACATTGGCAGCACAAATGGAAATATGTCAAATCAACATCAGTGAAGATGTTCACCTGCCCAGCAGATAGTTAACAGCAGCAGTCCTGTCCTATAGTCCATCATGTTAAACTGTGTGTCCACTGTTCTCTGTCATCCTCTCTGCAGTCAGATAAGTAGAGGTGGAAGACATCTGAGTTTTGCATTGACTCCTCCTCACAGTGTGGAACTGGATTTGACTTGGATCTCAGTTGATGTTTGGTGAAACTGCAGAATGAATGTTTACTGTACATTAGTCATTCCTCCAAGAGTCCCTCTTGCATGTTTCAGTATAATTTGTGCAACAGGTTGAGAAACACATTATTTAAGTTGGTTGACCCTTATTAAAGACCACATTATAGACCACAGTCTGCATCATGTGAAGACCTCGACAATAGTTTATCAGTTTTACCATACACCTAAAGTGAGTAATTTTAATTACATTTTAATATAAAGAAATATCAAAAAACACACGAACAAATGTTGTTCATTATGTTACAATGCTGAATTTCTCACAAGAAAATGCCTTCCAAGTGTTCATAAGTCATACCATTTTCAAGATTTCTGTGGAACGAAAACCTGAGTAGCAATAATAGTGAAGAATACATTTGAGAATATTAATTGAACATTAAACAGGAATAACATCCAGTACATGGATGCCATGAATACCCATATTTTTCAGTCAATATGAAGAAATTCCATAATTTATATTTCTGAGACAGACAGACAAAACATGTTTTGTAAAATTCCTCCACTGTATGTTTGATTTTATTATTCTATATTATAATGAACCATCTTTTATTTCTTTACCTTTTTCAATTCTTATCATGTCTGTTTCTCTCTTCACTGTAACAGTGAACTGGTGTTGAAATCATTAGTGGTCTGAGGGCTCCTCCTCTGGTGGCTTCATGTTACAAGTGTTCAGGCACTGAGGGGTTTTTGTTCAGGTCTACTGATGGTTTGTGTTATTGTGTCTCTCTGGCACAGTAATACACAGCAGAGTCTTCAGGCTGCACATTCTGTCCGTTTAGAGTCACTGTGTTACTGGAAGAGTCTAAGTCAATACTGAACTTGTTCTTCAGTGAATCTTTGTAATATGAAGCTGAAGTATGTTTCATTCCAATCCACTCCAGTCCTTTCCCTGCAGGCTGTCTGATCCAAGCTGTGAAGTAGCCCAGGGAATAAGAGACTTGACAGGTGATGGTCAGACGTTGACCTGGCTGCACAGTCACAGAGGCTGGCTGTGTCAACTGTTCACACTTTACACCTGTTAAAAAAGAAAATGTTTTGTAACAAATGATCAAGTTATACTGCAAAAGAAGAACTGTTGACTTTGACAAATCCAGAGAGACTCACATCCAGCTGCCAACAGCAGCAGCAGAGTTACAGAGAACATGGTTTATGTTGAAACTAACGTGCTGTGAACTCCACTGACAGCCTGATGGGAAGTTTTTATAGCTGAGTAACAAGGAAGGTCACTGAGTTTGCATAGAATCAAACATATGAAGCATCAATGTTGGTCTAACTGGAGCCAATAGAAGAGTCTGTTGACTGTTATTATATCTGCAGAGTGAAAACATGCCTGGAAATCACCTCTGCTTTACATATGGTATTTTAATTTCATTTAACATTTTGAAAATGTCTCTTTGCTTTTACTGTAAACTATTACTGTCTAAATCTAAACAAGTCAATATTGAAACATTTTGTAATTTTTTGTACACTTGCAAACAATGATAAGGATCTTTATTAACCCTTGTGTGGTGTTCGGGTCTGTGGGACCCGTTTTCATTTTTTATTAAAAGAAAAATGATACAATTAATTAATTTTTCAAACTGAGACTCACTGACTTTGGCTCATTTTCTGTGAAGAACATATATCAGAATACATATTTAATGACCACACACCATACACCCCCCCTACACATTTCTATTACATATAAGATGTCCGGGTCCACTGGACCCGGGGCTAATAGAAGTGTGGAAATTGATGTTCTGTGTACCACACGCACCCACCCACACACCCACACACCCACACACCCACCCACACACCCACACACACCCACACACACACACAGCAGGCCTAGACAGGAGGAGGACAGAGTGTAGGTACACAGAACATCAGAGGGTCAAATGTGCGAGAAAATGAGAGCAGACAGTGTTGACAAACAATGTTGCAATGTGACCTAACAAAGGTAAAGGGCAAATATTAACCATATATATTGTTTATACTGCTTGTAATTGGGATAAGGTAAACATCTGTTCAGTATTTTAACATAAAAGTGTTTGATTGTGAGGCATTAAAAGCCACAAAATGCAACGGGTCCATCAGACCCACAAACACTGGCTGAGTAACAACAATATGAACATTACACAAGGGTTAATGCTAATTTTAACATTAATAATGATGCAGAACTTATACATTAATGTAAGAACGATGATGTGCACCCATGGAAACAAAAAGAACAATCACCAATAATGTTGTTTTCTATACGACATGTTTATCATGTTTTCTGTTTCCCTGAGATCATTTATTTACTGTCAGCACCCCCTACCAGGGTTGGGGGGTTACTTTAAAAATGTAATCCAATATAATTACTGATTACCTGTAAAAATGTAGCCAGTAACCTAGCCCAATTATCACAATATTAAAGTAATGTAACTTGACTACTTGACTTGACTAACTTTGGATTACCTTACCAACTATACAAATAAAGACAAGAGAAAAACAATCAAAATCACAATCAACAAAACCAATAAGAAGTATTGATGCAAGTGTATTCTACAAGACAACAAAACAACGTGACTTTTGAAAAGAAGATGGAAACCCCCAAGCCTGCATCCTACATTACAGTCATGATAAACTTAAAAGCCTAAGCACAGCCTTTTTGTAACTGCAGCATTTATTTATTCATATATTTGCTCACTTTCTGTACTTGCTGACTGTATTTGCTGCAAACAGAAATAGCAGGAGCCAGGATCATGTAAATAGTCTGATGCTGGTGGTTTTCAGGTTTGCATAAAATACTTGGAAAGCCTCGAGGGGAATACAGCTGCTCAGGAACTGAAACCTGTGTGACAAAATGCAAAAAACTAAATTATTTAGCTTCGATGAAAACTAAGGTAGTTCATAAGTAACATGTTGAAGGCTAATTATTAACACATTTACCTTCATCTGTGTGTGGTTGTGTCAGAAATAAGTCCTCATCAAATTTTCGTGTTCTGGGTTTACTATTATTGTTTAATATATTATTGTTATTATTGTATTTATTTTGTATTTATTTATTAGTGACCAGGAAAAGCTAAATAACTACATAATATATTCATGTTTTATTGTATCAAATTATTTCTAATGAAATATAACTTTAAATCCATTCAGACATAAGTGGTAATAAAATATGTGTGTGTTGTATCATTTGAATTACTGGACCTGAGGACATTAATCCTGTGAGACAGTGCAGGGTCTATCAGCCCACTGAGGATGAGAAAAGAGTTTTTGCTTAAAAATCCCAGAAAATGTTTGTTACTGCAGGATTAGTTGTTCATCCATCTTCAATCAGTCTCACAAGCACAAGAACACACAGCAGCTCCTTCAGGCTTCCTGCTGTTCATCTTCAGGTCTTTACCAGATCTGAGTGTCTCCTTTTAGTATCAGAGGAGAGAGAAAGTTGCCCTCTTGTGATTTTAAGAAACTCAACATTATTTTCACTCTCATATTCTGACTCACTTTATGTTCCACGTGATTTACTGACATTATTGAGTCTTGATTTGCTGTTGTTGTCCGTAATATCAACAAGTGATGTATTGCGTATTTTGGATGCGTTTAATATTCAGTAATTAAATATAAGTAACACTTTTCTGGACTTTGTATAATGCAGGGACAATTGTCAATTCATATAATAAAAATATATATGTAATGTAAAACACTGAATATAAAAAATATCAACATATAATATTAATACAAAAGTACTTCAAGATGAGTACTATAGGATTTTGTGTAGCTGCTCAACCAACTCTAGTCACTGTCAGTCTCGAGCACAATAATAAACAGCAGAATCTTCAGTCTTCAGACTTTTCATCTGCAGATACACCTGCTGTCTGCTGTTGTCTCTGGAGATGGTAAACCGGCCTTGAACTGACTGAGAGTAGCGTTTCTGTCATTATCATATTCAACCCAGGCAAGGAGGAGCCTGTCTGACCCAGTTCGAGATTCTCCAGGCCTTTTAACCACTGGTTCAGATTCTGTCAGAGTCTGACCATCAACACCTGTCAAACAAAGAAAGATGTATGTTATGTGTTACACTGGTAGTAAAAATGAAAATATGTCAAATCAAGATCAGTGAAGATGTTCACCTGCCCAGCAGATAGTTAACAGCAGCAGTCCTGTCCTATAGTCCATCATGTTAAACTGTGTGTCCACTGTTCTCTGTCATCCTCTCTGCAGTCAGATAAGTAGAGGTGGAAGACATCTGAGTTTTGCATTGACTCCTCCTCACAGGAAGGAGAGAACTAGACTGGACTGGTGATATTTTTATTTTTATTTGTCGAACTCAGAGGAGATTTAACAAAAAATCAATACTTTGAGTTTCTCCTTTTTACTTTATTTTATACGGTGGCCGTGAAACGTGCAAAAAATGCAAAAGGCCCTGTATACGGCCAGTGTTTGCCATGTCCGTTTGGGGCTACTGTAGAAAAATGGCAAATACAATACAAATAAATTAAGGTAGATAATATTTATAAATATGAATTAATATTATTGTTATTTTTGTAAAATGGAATGAAAATGGTGTGAAATTGAATTCAGTGATCAATTCTTCTATTAGAATGTGTTACCGGTTGGCCACATATGTTTCTAGGCATTTGTGCAGGTCTGTTGGTGGTTTGTATCACTGTGGGGTAACGTACACAGTAATACACAGCTGTGTCCTCAGGCTGCACATTCTGTCCTGTTAGAGTCACAGAGCTAGTAGTAATGTGTGTTTTGTAAAGGAACTTGTTCTTCAGAGCATTGTTTTGAGAAAAGCTACCTACACCCCACCGATGCCAAATCCATTGCATTGGTTTTCCTTCACACTGTCTGATCCAAACTGTTGCATAGCTGTTATCAGTCAAAGAATAACCAGAGACCTGACAGGTGATGGTGAAGGACTGTCCAGGCTGCACAACCATTGAGTCTGACTGGATGAGATCAATACTGTTCACACCTGTGGAAACAGAAATCAACATTATCTCCATCATTCATCTGACTATTCAGTGTTTCTAATGTGTTTATTAGTGTGAATCCACTGAAAGCTCCTCACAGGATCCAGCTGCCAGCAGCAGTATCAGAGCTACAGAGAACATGTTGATGTTGCAGCTGAACTGATGTGAGCTCTTCTGTCCTCTCACTGACACACACACACACACACACACACACACACACACACACACACACTTCACTTCCTTATAAGTAACCCTTATTTGCATATTGAATAATCTTTTATTTAAATCAGTTGAAGATGTAAACACTGTGTCGTCTCGAGAGACCAGGCAAGGTAGAGAGAATGCTTTATGTAAAAACAGTATTTTTAAGAAAGAAAGATTTACTCAAAGATAACATTTGCATCTGTGCTGTGTTACATTAAACTACTAATTAACTAACATTTATCTGCTCATTAAAAATTCTAAACACAATAGTTACCTCATATTCCAATTAGAAATATTGTGTCTAACTTTGTTTTTCAACCAGTTTATCAGTGTTTTTAGGTTATTTCTTTTCATTTAAATTTTCTTTTTTTAATGCAACACCAACCGATTAAATGGACTTTAATGTAGGATTAAGCTGTCTTCAAAATCTGTTATATTAATTTTTAAAAAGCTATTGTTTATTCAACAACAGTATTTTCTAAGTATAAGTATACGATATTTAAGAAAACATTTTAAATTTCCCAGGGAAAAGCAGATTGAGAGAATCAATGACAAATATGATATAACTAATGACATTAATTAATTAATGAATGAATTAATGGTGTTATCACGCTGATAAATACAAATTGAAAGATCAAAGGAATGATGAATGTTTAATTTAGAGCTCCTTTAAATTTGGTCCATTTGGAAGCCATCAGTCTACAGTGAGTCAAGAAAGGCTAAGATAATGTTATTGTTCTTACAGATACATTTCTGCTCAGCCTCACTAGAAGAGATGATCATCCTGATGAGAGAGCAGCTCAGTGTGGGGAGATTGATCAAGGACTCTGAATTAGGGGTTATTTTAAAAACAACTTGTACAAAGTGGTTTTATTTTCCGTCAGTGACTGTCTGTAGTGGTTTCTGTACGGCTCTGTGGCTTCCTGTGTCACTGTGGCCGTCGAGCACAATAATAAACAGCAGAGTCTTCAGTTGTCAGGCTGTTCATCTGCAGATACACCTGGTCCACGTTGTTGTCTCTGGAGATGGTGAAGCGATTCTGGACTGATGTGGAATAAGCTTTAGTGCTTCCACTCGGAGCAGAAATGTAGGCAACCCACTCCAGTCCTTTTCCTTCAGCTTGTCTGATCCAGCCGATATCAGCATCGTCATCTGATATTCCTGCATATGTACAGGTCAGTTTGTGCGATTCTCCCGGCCTCTTCACCACTGGTTCAGACTCGGCCAGAGTCTGACTGCAAACACCTGGGGAGAACAGCAGTTTGATCAGAACACAGCCAAACAGAAACCTTGACACAGAAAAAGAAGAGGGCAGAATTGTGTATTCACCAGAAATCAGTGATACCATCAGAAACAGTATACATGCTGTTAAAGTCATAGTAAAAATGTGTTGTGTGTCTGGATGATGGTTTGCTTTGTCTCCAGTTTGCAGTGAGCTAAATAATAAAGATGGAAGAGATCCAAATTTGCATTGACTCCTCCTCATGGTGCTGAAAAATAAAAAGGATAACAGTGATATTTATTGACTGAAGGGATCTGATCTACTTACTGAGGGAATACTTTTTGTTGGTTGTATAAAGATATTCATTAGAGGAGTGTTTACCCAATGTTTGCTTCTTATGTGTTTTTAATTGAAGTTTCAAGGCTGGTTGGACAAGACACAGACCATAAATGGAAACGACTGGATCCAACATTTGGTGCCAGATTCTGAGCATACAGTATGTAACATACAGACAGTAAAAGCAACATATGATTTGGATCGTATCCATCTTCCAAACCACTTGTATTCTTCATGGTCTCAGCTTTTCTTAGTGCACACTGAACAAGGCTGAAACATGTTTAGAGACACACACATTCACACATATAACACATGAAAAAGTTGGAATAGCCATTTTACCTAAATTGCATATGTTCTGACAGGGTAAGGAAGCCATCAGACTTGGATGAAAACTTTATAACATATAACATTATTATACATTCATGTTCGATAGTATCATTAACATTAACATTATTGTGATCAGCATTAAGAACACAGTCGGTCCTTGACTGCCCTCTACGGTTCTAAAGGAGGGACTGCAACTATTTTCCATTTGAACATAATGTAACTTGTGAATCCTTAAAATACAGAAAGATGGTTGTGTTTGAAGCTCTGCCATACTCTGTAAACCTGTCCTTGCCTCTCTGCTAGTACATGCTGGGATACACTCAACAGGTAAAATAAGCTGTAGAAAAAGGAAATATGGATGATTATTATTGATGATTGGCGAGGTGGTGTCCAGCAAACGATGTGGGCTTCATTGATAACTGGAAGCCTTTTTGGGGAAAACCTGGTCTGATTAGGAGAGACGGCATCCATCCCACTTTGGATGGAGCGGCTCTCTTATCTAGAAATATGGCGAAGTTTATCTCTAAAACCTGACAGTCCAGAGTTAGGACCAGGAAGCAGAGCTGCTGTCTTACACACTTCTCTGCGCTTTCTTTAGAACAGTCACCCACCCAAAACCCCATAGAGACTGTGTCTGTCCCCGACCACCGAAATTATTTAAAGAAATAAAAACAAGAGGAGTTCAACATAAAAATCTAATAAAAATTAAAACCAACTCCTCAGTAGCACAAAATAAGAGAATGAAATGTGGGCTGTTAAATATCAGGTCTCTGTCCTCTAAAGCTGTTTTAGTGAACGAATTAATATCAGATTATGATATTGATTTACTTTGTCTTATTGAGACCTGGTTGTCCCACAAGGAGTATGTTAGCCTAAATGAATCCACCCCCCCAGTCATATTAATACTCACATTCCTCGAGGCACAGGCCGAGGAGGTGGAGTAGCAGCCATATATGATTCGAGCGTTTTAATGGACCCTAAACCTAAACTAAATTATAATTCATTTGAAAGCCTTGTTCTTAGTCTTTCTCACCCAAACTGGAAAACACTGCAGCCAATTCTATTTGTTATAGTGTACCGTGCTCCTGGACCGTACTCTGATTTTATATCTGAATTTTCAGAGTTTCTATCAAGTTTAGTCATTAAATCAGATAAAGTAATTATTGTAGGTGATTTTAATATTCATGTGGATGTTGACAATGACAGCCTTAGTAATGCATTTATATCATTAATAGACTCAATTGGCTTCTGTCAGAGTGTAAATAAACCAACTCATTGTTTTAATCACACTCTTGACCTTGTTTTATCATATGGCATTGATATTGAACATTTAATAGTCTTCCCACATAATCCTTTCCTATCTGACCATTATTTAGTAACTTTTTTGTATTCATACTATTAGATTATAAGCCATTAGGCAAAACTTCCTACAGCAGATGTCTATCTGACAGTGCTGTAGCTAAATTTAAGGAGGAGATTCCTTCAGTGTTTAATTCAATGCCATGTCTGAATTTAACAGAGTCCTATAATGACTTTAGTCCCTCTGAAATTGATAATCTTGTCGATAGTGCTACAGGCTCACTACGATCAACATTAGACTCTATCGCTCCTATAAAAAGGAAATTATTAAAACATAGGAGACTAGCACCTTGGTATAACCACCAAACCCGCCAGTTAAAACAAATAGCTAGAAAATCTGAAAGGAAATGGCGCTCTTCCAAATTATCAGAATATCGCTCAATTTGGCAAGATAATCTTAAAACCTATAGAAAGGCCCTCCGTAATGCCAGAGGAGCCTATTACTCAGCACTAATAGAAGAAAATAAGAACAACCCTAGGTTCCTCTTCAGCACTGTAGCCAGGCTGACAGAGAGTCACAGCTCTATCGAGCCACATATCCCCATAAACTTAAGTAGCAATGACTTCATGAGCTTCTTCTATAATAAAATTATTACTATTAGAGAAAAAATTAATCACCAACTGCCATCAACAGTTATCAGTGGCTCTCCAAGTTCAGGGACTTCTGTCAATGTAAACTTAGATATATATTTAGACTGTTTTTCTGCTATCGATCTTCATCAGTTAACTTCAATCATTTCTTCATCGAAGCCATCAACCTGTCTATTAGACCCGATCCCAACTAGGCTGCTTAAAGAA